TAAATTCTGTTTCACATATGTACAACTGTAAACCTACTTTTGCCCCAGCCTGTATATAGAATAAAAGTCTCAAACAGGCAGGGTACTGTCTGACAGTCATATGAATGTGTCTACCACGGCATCTAGCACACAGCTGACTGATGCTCAGTAAATATCTGATTTCTTATTTTAAAAGATGAGCGGGAAAGGTATGTAGTTGGGAAGGGTTTAGTAGGAGACAGAAAAAAGAAACATGTCTCTGCTCACCTATGAATTAGTGAGACCATGAAATTAAACATGAAAGAAAAACATTTTGCTGAAGCACAGAAGTTTCAAACTGGTGGCTCTTGAGTAAAATAGGTACAGTGCACAGGTATGTTTTATCCATACAATAAAGAATAAATTTGTTGTAATACTTGAAAATCAGGAGACTTCACATATAAATCTTTCTTGCTTGCTTCCCTTGAAAAAAACCAGAGGCCCTCATGGTAACAATGGGCTAAAGCTGAGTCAAAGCTTCAAATAGGAGTCACTTAGATTTAGAGGGGGTAGGCTCTACAACTGGCCACAGTTCCTAACAACCCTATTGTATATCTAGACCAATTCATTCATTTTTGCCACCTGCTTTGCTACTGCTGGCATAAAATGTAACTGTACAGTAAAAAGGGGTCCCTATTGAGAGCTTAAACATCTGGGTTCTAGTCCTGGCTCAACTACAAACTTGTATACCTAACCTCTTTGAGCCTCAGTTTTCTCATCTGTAAAAGGAAGGTTTATACAAAATGATCTCTAATAGTTCTATAATTATAATTCATATACAATGGTGATAATGAGCACGGGGGAGACATAAAAGTTGACTCAGACTATTCCACAGTTTACTCCCTGAGTCCAATTTCTTGAAATGTTCATTTCATTTTAAGGCTAATGAATGCCTAGTGAACCAAGTATAGTCTAAAATGAAGTACATGTTCTCTGGCACAATATCTGGGTCCATTTGTGTGAACTGACTAGTCTCACTATAATTGAAAGCCAGAAGACTATCTCAGATGGATAGGTCATTTAGTGCCTTTCTTGACCATGTTCATTCCTATTATGGAAATTTTCAGATTTCTCTCTGGGATAGTTACCCAGCCTATGACTAAATGAAGAGTTCCAGAGCACAGAGCCTCAGGCTGTGGGCGTTCTCAAAGCATACAAGAACAAGGTCAAATATAAAGACCAATATAAGGAAAGGGTAGTCTTTGGAATTTGAAAGCAGCAAAAAAGATCCTGTCTAGACTGGTCAAAGACTGTACATGTCAGTCCTATAGATCATACTGTAACCATGGCAGCAGCTACTTTAGCCCTGAGTGTGAAGTCAGAGTGTATAAATCACTTTTGAGAGACATGTTCCAGAAATAAGACAGGAAGTTTGGCCTCCTGTGCCACATTTAAAAAGTAGAAACTAGGGCCTCATGGCATGATTCAGTGTTTAGAGCATGGGCCCACGCACCGGAGGGTTGTGGGTTCAATTTCCAGTCAAAGGAACCTACTTGGGTTGCAGGTTTAATCCCTAGTCCCTGGTCTGGGCTCGTGTGGGAGGCAACCAATTGATGTGTCTCTCTCACATGGATGTTTCTCTCTCTCTCTCTCTTCCCCTCCACCCTTCCCTTCCTCTCTGGCCCTGGCTGGTGTGGTTCGGTAGTTAGAGTGTGGGTCCACACATCAAATGGTCATCAGTTCAATTTCTGGTCAAGGGCATGTACCTGGGTTGCAGGTTCAATCCCTGGCCCTGGTCGGGGTGCGTATGGGAGGCAACCAATTAATCTGTCTCTCCCACATCGACGTTTCTTTCTCTCCCACCTCCTCCCTCCCTCCCTTCTACTCTCCCCCCAAAAAAATCAATGGGAAAAATATCCTCAGGTGAGAATTAACAAAAAAACAAAGTATAAGCTCAGTAGATTAGTTTCACTGAAAATCCATTATATAATTCATCCTCCTAAAGCCCCTAAAAATTGAGCAGGAAAATAGTACTGATCAATTCTGATTTACAGTTAGAGAAGCCATAGACCCAGAAAGCTAAAACCCACACATTGACCAAAATACTCAAGATGCACTTCAACAAATATTTATTGTGCTCTCGTAGTGTGCCAGACATTTGGAGATAAGACAATATGAATAGCTACATTTCTTAGTTCCTATTCCCTAGGTTATATACTTTTGACAATCGATATGGGAATATGAACAGACTTTACAACTGATCTAAAGTTAGATTCAATGACTTTGTATCCTTCTTTATCCATAGAAAACCACTTGCCCTAACCAAAAGGCAATCTCGTTTGTCAGAGAGGACACAGTACTCATAAACGCTTTCCATAGGACAAAAGTCACAAATAACAAATTAGTCAAATCTGAATAGGGAAAATCAAAAGCTATTCAATGTTTTTATCATTGTATGTAACCTGAAAGGCAAAAACAACTACTTTTTTGTCAATGTATATAACCAGAACCATCATAAAATATATTGTGTGGCTTTGCATGTGACAGACAATACCTGTTCCCAGTGTATCTGGGGAAAATGGGTAGTTACAATCTAGGTCACAGGTTCTCAAACAAGGGCAATTCTCCACCCCTTCCCAGTGAATGTTTGGTAATGTCTGGAGACATTTCTATTTGTCTAGAAGATTGCTGGGGGAGATATTACTGGCATCTAGTATGAAGAGACCAGAGATGCTACTAACTATCCTATGATGCACAGGACAATTCTACACATCAAAGAATTAGTTGATTAAAATATTGATAGTGCTGAAGTTAAGAAACCATGGTTTAGGTGTTCTACATATTGGTGAGAGGCCTTTTTCTGAGTCTTTTAAGGACTCCATGCAGATAGTTTCTCAATACTAACATAGGAATTGAAAGAAAGCACAACATCCATTCTCCTTCACCTCTCCCTCAGCCCGTTTTTCTGGTAAAAAGCCTACGAACCACATTTAGTGCCTACTCTTCGTTGTTCAATGAAAAAGGATCTCATACATACATAAGAAGTTGACAGAAGATGGATAATCAATAAAAACAAGGAAGAAAGGAAAGAAGAAAGACAAAGAGAGAAGGAGGTGCTTGGTTATTTCCACAGCTAAATGAAACTAAATCAGTCATTCTGCAGAGCAGATAATTACAAGATCTGTTCTATCGTGAGTCTGATCATCTTTAGAAACTGTCTCTTCCCACCCAAGAAACAAATTGCCTGTACAGTCATTAGCACCATGGCCTCTCCAAGGAGACAATGCTTATATAACTGGAGCCACCTAGTGATTTCAAGTGTGTATTACAGCTAAATAGCCCCCAGGACTCTGACTTGAATATAAATTCTGAATTTGGATATATATTCACCATTTACAAAAGGGGAAATCCCTAGCTCGGACACCTTAAGAGGTATTCTCAATTTCTTTCACATTCCACTCAATTCAATTCCTACTACATATACTAATCGTTAGGCTATGACATTGAGGAGCCTCTAGCAACCTCAATCTAGGAAGAAAAGTTCTAGCTACTTACTGCCTTCAAAATGCAGGGACTTCACAGGTTCTCAAAGAACTGTGTTTTGTTTTGTTTTTTTATCCTCACCTGAGGACATTTTTTGATATTTTGTTCAGATAGAGTGGGAGGGAGAGAGAGAGAGAAACATCGATGTGAAAGGGACACATGAAGTAGTTTCCACCTGCACAACCCAACCAGGGCCGGGGACAAACTACAACTGAGGTACGTGCCCTTAGCGGGAACCGAACCCGGGTCTCTCGGGACCGCAGGCCGATGCTCTAACCTCTGAGCCAAACTGGCCAGAGCTGTTTTGTTTTTTTATGCCCTATGTTCATAAATAACTTTAAAGAGATGGAGTACAGCATGCGAATTACATGTAAAAATTTAACATAGTTGATGAACCCAAAGAGAACACTAAACATTAGCAGAATAAGGTTTCTCTTTTTGCAGTCTAAATGTGAAGTAGCATTAAGATTTGTTGTGTTTGAGAAGAAAAAATATCTATTTGTTTATCTGAGTAATCTTTCTTTAGATTTGTCTTTATTCAGCTTGATTACTCAGACCAGTCCAACAGGTCTACTCACTGACACCCACATCAGAACTTCTATGGCCAAGGCAGACAGTCAAGAATGCAAGTATGGCCCTGGCCAGTTTGGCTCAACGGTTAGAGTGTCAGCCTGCAGTCCAGAGAGACCCGGGTTCGGTTCCCGCTAGGGACATGTACCTTGGTTGCAATTTGTCCCCGGCCCTGGTTGGTCGTGCGGGTAGCAGCCATTCAATGTGTCCCTTTCATGTCGATGTCTCTGTCTCTCTCTCTCTCCTACTCTATCTGAACAAAAAAAATGGAAAAATGTCCTCGGGTGAGGATAAAAAAAAAAGAAAAAAGAATGCAAGTATGTTTTCAAACTGCTCACTCTAAGTCAGTATCAGTATCTCGACTCCCAGTGAGACTGTGAAAAGGCTGGAAAGTCACAGCTTGGGTTCCCCTTCCCAGTTGTGATACTGGCAATAAAAAAAAGAATCAGCATCTGGCTTCCTCTCAAACAATGTCGCTCAGCCCATTTCATCCAAGAAAAAGATGCCACCCTAAGGGGCCATTCAGGATATATATCTCTTAGATGGTACTTAGTGTGTTTCATTCATCATTTGTATTTTATTGATACAAAAAAAAAGTCTTTGGGGGGCAGGGTAACTTTCCATGGACTTCCTCCTTTCTTTTGAAATGATGCATTCTTAGAATCTTAAAATTTATTCACAAAATCTGGCAGAGCTAGGTGGCTCAGAATCATATTGTGGCTAGCCTTGGTTTATGGTGTGTGCCTCATATTACTCAATGGCAGCTCTGATGAAGAAACTCACTATTAAGACAGAACATATACCCAGACACTTACTGTTTCACCTCATTTGTTTCTATTTGATGTGATGCTCGAGAAATAAAGACCAACAGAAACAGTAATCTGAGAGGAAAGTAAGAGTGTGGGATGCAGGAGGCAGAAGGCACTTACCTGGTCACGATCTCCCGCAAAACAGCAGCTTTTCATGGTACAAGAGTTGAAGTAACCCTGATTGTCAAACTGGAACACAGGCAGGCGGGAGTGGATGTCATAGAGCACAGGGGGCAGGCGACGCCTCAGGGCCAGGAGCTGGGTCCCGTTGCTATTGAATCGCACACTCATGGCACTTTGAAGGGATAGGTTGCCACCATAGCGTAGGAGAGAACTAGAAGGCACAAAGCACAGGGATCGGGCATAAGACAGACTGAACAAGAGTCTGCAAAACACACCACACTATTTCTTCCCAACATGTTCCTGTCAAGCCTGATATATGTGAATTTTGGCAGAAAGGTATTTCTATGTAGTAGGTTTGAAGGTAATAATGAGGACAGGAGTGGCTCCTTGATTATATTAATGCAAGTGCCAGTTCCCCTTTTCAGTCTCCAAAAGGTGAATTACCACTAAATTTACAGGACAAGGACAACAGAAGCATCTTGAAGGAAGAGAGATATTAAAATGATTTGTTATTTCAGTTACCTAAGCTAACTGCAGAATCAAATAGATACTCGTCAAGACCCTAGGAGGTGAGTCATGTCCATGCTAATTGGCTAATCATAGATGGTATTTAAGAGATATATTTACCATTTGTATTAGAGACATGAGAACCACTAGAAAGAATAACAGTTTCTAGTTAACTCTGAATATTTTTTTAATAATAATCACTTTGTTACTTGCCTTTATTTTTCAATTTTTAATCTGTTCACAGAAAACTTTTATATTCCATATGGCATGACTCCAGAGTAAATATTAAAGAAAAACATTTTATTAAATGCAGAGCAAGTAATTACAACAACTGGAAAAACAAGAAGACTTGTTTCCCTTTACCACATCTGTAACTAAATTTTGTTTTGGGGGATTTTATACTAAGAACTGGAGATACTATTTGTCAGTCATTTCAAAAACAATTATTTGGGGCTTGAAAATATATCCTATGAAGAGTCTAAAAAAATACTACCAGAAGATATGTAATATTAAAGAAGACAACACATTTTCTTTTCCTTTCTTTTTGGTAAGAGGGTGATGGGGAAAACTAAGGGAACAAGAAAGAAGATATCCCATGGGGAAAAGAGCCTCTGAAATCACAGTGCAAAGGCAGCTGCCAATATGGCCTGGTCATAAAAACAGTCTACACCACCACTAGCTAGTCAGTCCTGTGTCCCCCAAAACAGTCTTCTCACCAGAGTAAAGAATGTTCTGATACTCTGGCTATGTGTGGAAACAAGTCTTGGGCAAACAGACTTTAATTCTTATGATTGGAATGGCAGGAAGAGATTTAGAACGGTCCCTAGAACTCCAAATATCAAGAAGAAGCCTGGTACCCCTGCAGACACCAGCTAATTATCCCTGCAGGGAAATGTTCTTATAATGGTCCTAAACACAGACCACAGTCACTCACATACAGAGAATGAATGACAGGGCTGTTAGAGCCCAGGCATTTCCTTTACAGGGTGCCCTAGCTCCTACAGGCATGTGGTGTTATCTAAACACTGAGCTCAAAAACAACGAGAGGCTTTCAATCTGAGATTAGCATGGAGTGTGCAAATAAACCAGCATCTGTAGGACTGAAGAGGAGTTGGGGGTGGAAACAAGACTCGACAAAAAGAAACTTGGCCAGCCCCACCAGCCATAGCAGAAGGGGTTTGCATTAGCTTAGGCATCCCTGACAGGAAAGCTGGGCCTCTGGCAAAAGCCCTTTCAATCTGTTAACAGAAACTTCCTCTGCAGATTCTAGTCAGGCCTGTAGGAGTCTGCCCAGGACAGGAATCTAGGCCCATCCCATCCCCAGCCAAGCTCCTTGACCTATGTTTGCAATCTGGCCACTTCACAGTGTCTGAAGGAGAGAGTCACTAATTTTTTTCTTGCCTATGCTTTGGAGCAGGGAACTCCTATTTCTCACTTATAGGAATCTTGCTCTCAGTGTTTAGGAGTGCTATCTAAAGAGCAGGAGCTACTAAAACTGAATATTCATGTTTGGGCACAAAATTCAATTCCTTCCAGAGGGATGAAATAACACCAGAAAATCAGAAAGTGAGCATATTAATGGTAATATCTAGGCAGGGGTTCTGCAGCTGGCTCCTCTTGACGAGAATGGTAAGCACCATCTAGTTCATCAGAAAGAAAAGGCTTAGAAGCAGTTTGCCCCCACAGTCCCAATATAATGTCAAAGATCCTGCTGTTTTCAGTTCTAAGTGTAATGTGCATGAGAAATCAACTGGGACTTTTAAAAAATGTACATTCTCAGGATCGATCCCCAGATATTCTAATTCAGTGATTTTCAACCTTTTAAATTTCTTGGCACACATAAGCTAATTACTAAAATTCTGCAGTATACCAAAAATATACATTTTTTGCCCATCTGAAAAAAGAAAGTGATTACCTATCCTTCTTTGTTTATTTTTTCTTTATCGATTTTAGAGACAGAGGAAAGGAGAGGGAGAGCTAGAAACATTGATGAGAGAGAACATCGATTGTCTGCCTCCTGCATGCCCCCTACTGGGGATTTGGCCCACAACCTGGGCATATGCCCTGACTGGGAATCAAACCGGCAACCTCTTGGTGCGTAGGTAGACACTCAACCACTGAGCCATGCTGGACGGGCTCCAATTCCTTTAAGATTAGAGCTCCTCTCTACCAGCAATGCCTGAAATGGTTTTTTCCATCCTCAACACATTCCCTGAAGGAGAAGTTTCTCATTTCCTCTTGGAGACTAAGGATACTTGAATATAACAAGAATGCCTCATCCTGACTTGTTTTCTGACTCTGATCTTAATAATGGAGATGCCACTATCTCCACTCCTCCAGAGAAATGGCCTTCCATTACACACCCAAATGAGATGAGTAGTATTTTGAAAGGACTAGCAACAAGTTAAAATGACTTTAAATCAAAATATACCTATAAAAAATAAAAGCAATAAATCTATTCCCAACCTATCTTCAACCAAGGATTTGTCATAAAATGCAGTAAGAATGGGGTAGAAGGTGATCCAAGGGTCAGCATGCAAAAGACCCAGGATGAAAAACAAGAGAACCCAAATATCAGGAAGATGTTCTTCACTGGTGTGGTCCCCCCTCACCCCTGCCCCATATTCAATTGGACTTCTTTATTGCTTGGGGGGGTGGGTAAAAAGAACATTTAAAAAAAGTATTTGGCCAAGGTTAAGGCCTTGGAACAGAAAAGAAATAAGCTGAAGCTGTTTCCAGGGAAAGTGACTGGGAGTATCCTGCCCAGCAGTACAAGACAAAGCATCCATAGAGGTTCCCAGACCAGGCTCCACAAACCTAGAGTTCCATAAGTCCATGATTAAGCAATTCATCTGATAGTGCTAGTAAGATTTTCCAAAGCCCACTGGCATGAATTTCCTCCTCATTTCTATGTGAAAGTTTCATCATACCTGTGAAATACTTGGAGGCAAGGCACTGCTATTCCAAATCACAGACATCCAAGTTGGTATCGTACAACTAGAGAGGCAAAATCAAGGTCAACAGAAGGGGGGAAATCTCTCCCCTCCAGCTTCTGCTTTAGGACAAGATGACCTATAAGGAATAAAGATTTTTGGACTTCCTATAACACAACCCATAGAAAGAGAAATCCTAGATGACATTAGAATTAGGCCAAAGGTGAACAAGTTCAGAGAGTCTCAGCCCAGTACCAGTTCCATTCAAGTGTGTTCAGGGTTCCAATAATCCCTTAAACATTTCTTTTATATGAGTTTTTTCTAATACAATCCTTAGTTCCAAGATTGAAACACTTCTCTAGAGAAAACTGAACTGTTGGACAACCACCCTGAAAAAAACACATTGTGATCTGTGTGATTGAACAAACTTATTTTCCTCAGTACACATATTCATTACCAAGCCTCTCTGGCTTGAAATATAGATATAGGTTCCATGTACATGGTAAAAATTCCCTTCACTTTTTGAACATCCAGAAATTTAAGTTTGACTGAGGTCAGCAGAGGCCTTGACTAAATTCCTGAGGAAGAGATCTTTTCAAATGACATATCCACTCCCTCCACAAAGCAAATGTGGATGACAGGCATTGCAATGCTTCTAATCATCACCTTCCAGAACAGGGACATGCCCAGAGTTGAAGAACTAGAGTCCATGTTTTTGCCTTTGGCTCAAAGACACCAAAAGCCATGCAAAACTAACCAAGATCTTAAAATGAATTAAGAGGCAGTGCCATAACAGATTGTTCTAGAACACTCATGAACTTTCCACAGAATCAGAGACTCAACATTAAGTCATCTCAGTTAAACAGAGAGCCTGGTTTATTCAAAACGCCCCTTTACCTCAAGCTACAGAAAATAAAGAGGCTTTGTAAGAAGCCATTTAAATCTTCATCTTAAAACTATTCCTGGTTCTGCATTCTGAAAGATGTTACATAGCATTAGCCCTGACCTCACAGTGTATAAGACTGGGGAGGGAGAGTTTAATAAGTAGTGCTTAGCAGGAGAAAGAGAAAAGCAAGAGAAAGGAGGGAGATTGAGATGATGCCAGTTGCCACAGCAACACTTAACAGTACAGAAGGAGTGGGTAGGTACATATGCAGGTAAATAGGCAGTCCCTGATGGCAGGAAAAGAAACTGGGGTGAGTGTGCTGGGGTGAGAGTACAAGGCCACAAAGCTAGAGAAATGTAAAAGAAGAAACAGGCAAACTTTGGGAAGAATCCTAAGCAGAAGAGGGTTTGAAAACAAAAATTGCAATTTGGCACATTCTGTTAAGAACTGTTATACAAAAACGAGAGAGGAGGAGAACATAAAGGAAGAGGTAGAGAAGACCAAATTGCTGACTGATGAGACCTCATTATAGAAAGAGAGCCTGTTTCATACAGGAGCCACTCAATGAGAATGTGTCCAAAAAACCAAAGTCACCTCTAGTTGGCAGTAATATAAATGTCTCAAAAAAACGGCTTTCAAACTTTTAATAGTACTCCTTCGTAATAAGTACATTTTACAATGCATCCCAGTATACCCACTAGACACAAATTTAGCACAAATTCACTAGACAATACTTACCACCTACTATTTTTTTTATTCTATATTTGTTATTCAATAAATACTTGTGACATCTAAATTGATTTCATGACCCACTGGATCACTGTAAGAGCTTCCTACCTTGTCTCCTTGCTTCCATTCTTGGACTCATGCTTCAGTTTATCCTCA